TACCACACACAACAACTCTCTTCCTTTTTTTTTTTTAACTTCAAGAACTTTAAATTTTAGTCTGCATATATTTTTAACACACTTCAAACCATTTAGAAATTTTCTTTGTCTTTGAAGCTCTCTTTACTGTATATCTCTCTTTTTCTGACCACATGAATCTTTAATTTACCAAGCAATCTCAGTAGGACTAAAGGCGTGGCTTTGCCAGCTAGATCCAGTCCCTTCCTTAGCTTTCCAGCCTCATGGCTGAGGTATCGGCCAGAGCCGCATTCAGTGCCACAAGCCTACAGTGTTTCAATATCCCTGTCAGCAGGCGAGCTTAAGCTTGCAAACGGCACGAACCGCCTGCGTAAAAGAGTCAAAGTTTGCCCTGGCAGGACAGCCCAGAAAGCTGGCATTTTTAAACGGCGCAGCTTTTTTCCTGCTACGGCTGAAAACTGAAAAGCATGCGTTCAGCTTTTTGTCAGTGTTTCGTGGCAGGACCTCTTAATGAGCTGCAGGGTTCTGTAGCTAAAGCTGAGTCAGGAAGCTTCTCTCAGATGAGGCGCCCGCTTGCCTCTAGCAAGCAGAGCAGACCCAAGAACACAGCGAGTCTAGTTGCCATCAAACAAATCATAGCACTTTACTCCAAATGCTCTATTCAAAAGCTCTGTCCCCCGCAGGAGCCAGACAGAGATCGCAAGGGCGGCACAGCCCCGGGAAGTCGTGCTTTAAAATGACACAGCGTTTTTTCTGCTACTGTTGCCGAATCAGGAAATCTCTCTACAGCATGCCACCAACAAACAGCAAAAATCTGTGTTAAACTCTCTCTCCCTTATTTTTAAGCCTTCTCAGGTTTTTTAAGTGGGTTTAGTCCATCACGTGGGGCGCCATATGAAGTAATAGGGGCGGCGGGGCTGCGTTCCCAGCACCCCGGCCGCCTGCTCGGCTAGCTTATGGCCCAAAATAATTACACAGACACTGTATTCTTTTAAGCACTGCTTGGCCCTTTAGCTCTAGCACTTACAGGCTAATTCTCACATCCCGATCAACCCATCTCTAATAATCTGTGAGAACCGGTCTTACCGGGAAGATTCTAGCCTAGTCCATCCTGGGTCGGAGCTTCATGCCGGGAGCGGGGCATGGCGTCTCTCTCAGGCGTCTGCTCCCTAGAGGAGAGCTGAGCTGTGGAGTCTCTGACCTCACTTCCTCTTCCTCCCAGCGTTCTGTTCTGTTTACTCCTCCCACCTATCCTCTATCCTCTAACCAATAAAATGGGCCAGGGCAGTGCCTTTATTAGCCAATGACCTTCCTCCATCAAGCAGCATACATCCTGCAGGGTCTTTTCTGAAGCCATAACAGAATTGCCAAAGTGAGGTCCTTAGTGAGAGCCTGGGTTTTTCAGGATTAGAAGATATGGCTGCCGTAGTAAAGAGGCCCCAAAAGAGTGATTCTGTAACTGCTGTAGACATAGACGATCTTGAATGAAGATGTAACTGATGGAGGTGGGTCATCTTTCTATCTGTTGTTTTATTGGTTAATTAATAAAAAAAACTGCTTGGCCCTGATAGGACACAAAATTAGGTAGGCGGAGTAGACAGAACAGAATGCTGGGAGAAAGAAGCCGAGTAGGAAGTCGCCATGATTCTCCCACTCCAGACAGACACAGGTTACGATCTTTCCTGGTAAGCCACCTCGTGGGCTACACAGATTATTAGAAATGGGTTAGATCAATATGTAAGAGCTAGCCAATAAGAGGCTAGAGCTAATGGGCCAAGCAGTGTTTAAAAAAATACAGTTTATGTGTAATTATTTCAGGTAAAGCTAGCTGGGTGGCGGGACGCAGCCCACCGCTCCTATTACAACATGTAACCAATCACATGACTTCTCAGGAAGCTTTGTGAAGCAGAATCCCCAATTTAAAGAACATCTTAGAGGAAGGCCCACTTGGGAATAAACACTACGACAATGTTTTGTTTAGTTTATATTTCACTGTGATAAAACACTAAGCAAAAACATCTTCAGGAGAAAAGTCTATCTGGTTTGCAGCTTAGAGTTCATCATGAAAGGAAGCCAAGACAAGAATTAATGACAGAAATCTGGAGGAAGGGCAGAAATAGAAACCCGAGAAGAATGTAGTTTACTAGTTTGCTCTCTCTGAGGTGTTCAGTTGTATATATATATACATACATATACATACACACACACACACACACACACACACATATATATATATATATATATATATATATATATATATATATATATATCCTGTCCAAGAATAGTACCATAGTAGGCTGTGCCCTTTTAGATCAATTATCAATTGAGGTTCTGTTTTTCCAGGTAACTATTGTGTACAGCTCACAAAACTTAGCCTGTAGAAATGGTATCCTAACCTAGTACCATCATCCCTAGTTGCTGTTATTTCTTCCTCCATCTGATGATATGCTCCAGTAAAAACATTGTCTGTATATTATTCCATACTCTGAGAGTAAACAACTAGGTAGACAGCTAATTTGGAGCTCATCACATGAGGTGCAAAGTTAAGTCTATGCCATATTCCAATTATTGAAGGCAAAGATATGGTCAATTTTGAGAAAACTTAAAAAGAAACATATTAAAAACATTGGAACTTAAAAAAAATGTATTTTCTCCCAGAGACAAAAGAGAGAAAATTGGTGAGCATAAAACATTATTCCTCTATATTAGGAAATCTCCTAGGCTAGAGAAAATTATTAATAGGTTAAAATAAAATGTATTCTCTTTGAGTATTCCTATTGCATCCTGTAAGTGTTAAATAAGTCAAGTGATCAATATCAAAATATCATCGATTAAATTAAAGAATAATTGCATGAGTGAACTAAATTTAATATAAATTGCATACTCTCATAATTTTATAGAGAATTTATTTTACCTATTTTAGTTGATTAATTTAACTCACTTAGATAATAATAAGATAATAGGTAATATAGTAAATTATTTTGTATATAACAATATTTACAGATGCATGATGCTTACTGTCTTAGTTTATTTTCCAAAATATAAAAGGTACTATCATTTCTATAATTAATCTTGTTTTAAGTGGACTTTATACAGGCAGATTTACAGACCCAAAGACAAACATTGAGCCACACTCAGGGAGTCACAGAAAAACGCACAGAAACCACTAGCGTGACTCATGGGAGCCTGGTTTACAGATTCTGAACCCACCACCAGGAAGTCTACATGGGACCAAGTGAGGCTCTCTGCATAAATGTAACAGTTGTATAGTTTAGTCTGTATGTGGGACTCCTGGAAATGGGGACAGGGCCTATTCCCAGGGCTTTGGCAAGCTTTGGAAAACCTATTTCTCCTTCTGGATTGCCTTGCCAGGCCTAATAGCAGAGGAGATGCTTGGACTTGGGGCAGCTTGATAAGCCAGGCTCTGTTGAAACCCTTGGGGGGAGGGGGGCTTTCCCTTTCTGCATGATTACAGAAGAGGCATGGGTTGAGGGGCAGGCAGAGGAGAGAAGGTGTGAGAGAGTGGGAGAAAAAGAGAGAGGGAGAAGGATGTAGAGTCAATAATTTAATTAATAAAACATCATATTAATTATACAATCAGATCTAAATATATTACCGCTAAATGAATGAATAAGATACTTAGCACATTTCAAATTATAACTAGTAAATGGATTGTGTTGGGTGAACATGCCAGAACAGACATAGCAGCACGATGTTGCTTCTATCACACAATTAACAGCTAACTCAAAAGTTTTCAAGTACTTAGACCACTTCAGTACTTCTTTCTTATCATGCCCTAAGCAACTAACAGCAAGATGAATTCCAACTGGGTTTATTTGGGAGCTCATAGAGAGCAGGGGCTGGGACTTGTGTGATGAATCTGAAGCTGACCTTTTACATAGCTTCATATATATGAGACCAGACATAGCTAAAATATTCATGAAATATTTTAGCATAAATAAAATGTGAGTAGTCTGTTACTAGTATAAACTGTGAAACACATTCATGCATTTTGTAATACGAATGCAATGCATGTGCATATATTTCTTTTATAAGTCTTTTAGCACTATTTCACCTTGATAGAACACTCATTTATTCCAGATAATTTTTGCCTCATTGGTCTAAGTATGTGTTTATAAACATTTCTACTTGAATTTCTCTTCTTCGTATCTTATGCTTACTCTGCGTATTACAAATGAATGAGATTGCATTTTATATACAACATTGCCTATATTTTTCTGTTGAAAGGCACAGGAGAGAAGATGTTGATTTCAAGCAAACACATTTGGGCATTTCATAAAGAATGCATGACAATCCAATTCTATTAGTCCCATATTTCATTTGCTTTGTAGCATGCTTTGCTGGATAATTCCTGCTTCTGTTTTAATATATGAGTTTCGAACTAAGAATGAAGTAAATTCCCCTAAGAGAATGTTAAGATATTCTTACCTAACTGTACTTCACACACTAGAAATGACTCAAGTCATTGGCTTGAATAATGAATTCTAGACCAGAAAGCACTTATGCAGTATCTTGTGCTATTTCAAAAGCTTTTATATGGATTAGTATGCTGCCTGCTCCACAGTGATCTGATTAGTTATCATTCAAATGAATACAGAAATATGAAAAACCCTTATAAAATCAGGCACCTTCTTATGTAAAGATATGCAGTGTAGTCAATGGGATATAAAACCAGTGTTCTTTGGAACGTTTAGTCTTGTCATCAAATGTATGCTTAAATAATTGTATATCCTGTTAGTTAACCAAACAGAATATCTAAATACAGTCAGCCATGTGCTGATTACCTGTCAAGCTATGAGTTTTTCTAGATGTATGGAAAATTAGAATTAAAGTAAGAAGTCCAAAGTTGAGTGATTTTCTTAAACAATTTATAATGGCAGACTCAACCACTCCAGACTCTATTCTGGTACCTCATCCAATGTGAAAACTACATGTCATAAAGTTTCATCTTAAATCGTTACCTGCTTTAAGCAAGTAAAAGTTCTTGGTTGGCTTTACAGGATTTTACATTTCTACACCAACTGAACAATGCTGGAGAAGAGAAAGAGTGGGGCTTTTAAGCCTCTCTTTAGAGCTCGCTTCGGAGCCTGCCTGCCTTCATTTCTGGTATGTTTCCAATAAGGTCTTTGACTTCTGGTCGGATATACTGAAATGCTATGTTTGTGAGTGGCTAGCAACAGTTTTGTTAGGGAACCAGCCTCAGATCAGATAGCTAACGTTTTAATGCCTACATTATTGTTTTTTACAATTGATAGAACAGCAAAGTATTGGTGGCCCCCTGACCCTCTTGCCCAGAAACACCCAAAGGGAAAAAATATATAATTAAATATAAGAAAATCTGCAGAAAAAACTAAAATAAATTTATTCAATGTGTTAAAAGCTAAACATCTTTTCCTATTTCCAGGTATTACATGTGTTGTGAAAATGTCTACAACTTAAGCATCCAAATCAGCAGTGATGAAAGCACAGGCAAGACAGTTTTTCAAAGAACAGGAAATTATGGGAGGAATTGGAATTATGGCCAAGTTACATTTAATGAAACAGGGAAATTTAAGGTTTGCAAAAATACTTTGTAATTTCTATGTGTATTTTTATAATGTGTGAGTATACTTTACAATGATATAGTAAAGTAGTTTCTGGAGAAAACCTAGTAACTTTCTCTTCTTTTCAAATCTACCTTATTTTTTCTTTTAGTCTTGAGGAATCACTTATGATATTAACATTCTAAAACCCTTAGAAAAAAGGCAGCTTCATCTCCCTTCATCAATACCTTCTTCTATTCTTCTGCCTTATCTTGTTCAGCTCTACACATTCCAGATAATTATCATTTCATAGTTAAACATCCATGTCCATCAATATCCACCAGCCAACCCCACTATGACTTAATCTCGGTAGATTTCCTTTAGAAAGGAATTTTATGAGCCATATCATTGGGAAGTCTCTGATCATTTATTCTGCATTAAGTTGAATTAATTTTTCCAGATAAGAATTTAATGCCTTTATTTCCTAAGGGTTGTTGCTATTAAAATATAGGATAATGTGCCCTATTAGTCTGACCAAATTAACAATGTTTTATTTGAATAATTTGATACAAGTTAGTATCACTTTTAGACGATGTATATTTGAACAGACAATGTTATCACCAGAGGCATAGATCCTCCCTTATGACATAGAGCCATAATCAGTGATCCTCATCTGCCTTCTTTCTGTCACCCTTCCCTTTATTTTTTCATATTCTAGTCTTCAGTTTGAATTTTTCTTCATTAATTTTGTTCTCTGATAATTCAAAAAAGAAAAAATAGAATATCAAACAGAGACAAATAGATGAATAAAATGAGAAAATCAGCATTTCTGCAGGCAGTTCTGGCCATTGAGGTTATTTTCTAAACCTGCAATGGTCTGGTACAGTATGTTTGGTCTTAGTTTTACATGAAAAAAGATATTGCCACATCGCAAATGCACATGATGATACTTTATTCATGATTAGCTTCCATGGTTTTGTTAATCACAGTCCTAAAGCTTTGAATGTAAGTTAATAATTCCTATCGCACAAATTTTATTACAGTGTATTGTTATAATTATATTATGTGACACTAATCCTGGTGACAAATGCACCAACATCTACTCTCCCCAGATAGTGAACCATAGGCAGGCCAAAGTAAGGATACCAACAAAGTCCAAATTTGTGAGCCAATGAGTTCTATGGGGATTAGTTACAGAAGTGTGGGTGTGGGGGTTACTTACAGGAGCAGAAATTCCTCAAAGACAGCTGCATCACCTTGGTGTAGATGATGGGTCACCAAAGGTGGAAACTTGAAACACTTCAGAGGTTGGAGAGTGCCTTTTCTGATCAGATCAGCTTTCCCCAGCCTATTCAGGTGGTTCAGCCTGGCCGAGAGTATCTCTCAACAGTTCTTAAAACAGAAAATCTTGGGGAGGGCAGACCCAGTGAACCCCATCTGTTTGAGCAAACTCTCAAATCTATTAAGTGATCTGCTTCCCAAGTTTAAAAGAATCTCCCTGCAGAATGGAAAGTTTTAACTTCCTTTAGAATATCTTGACTTTTAAGGAGTTTCCTTAAGGATGGAGGAAATTGTCGCACAGAAAGTTGTTCTGTTACTGTTGTTGATTCACAAATATTCATAGGTAAGATGGTATAGGTCATACCATGGTCAGCATGAGGATCAGGGCTATTTGGAATTTCAGTCATACAGTAGGACTTAGAGGATACTGTCATCTGTTGGAGAATACAAGCTTACATTTTTATTATGCCGTTGTATTGAGAAGTTGTGAACAACTTGCTGTTATCACCTTAATTTTTTTCTCCTCTGGAAAAGGAATATTTCACAATTATTGGAATATATCTGGTATGAGACCTATGGAATTAAAGGAAAATAATGAATTGAGGAATACATGCTCTGGTAAAAAAATCAAATAAGACAATGTAAATTATGTGGCTCAGATAGCAAATACCACACAGCAAGTATGTTTGTCTCATTCTTATGTTATTGAAGATACGTCCAAGGAAGTACAGTTGAAAACAGTCACAATATCTGAGAACCTGCTGTGGTGTTTATAAACCCAGGAGCTGTGACCGAGACTGTTTGTTCGTCTTATGATTAGCACCTTCCTAAGAATGCTAATTCAGAACCCTAAGTGAACTAGGACCAGTACTGGTTGATCCTGAATGTTCATGTTATGCTACTCATTTCTTCGTGTTCCTCTTTCCCTATTTAAATGATATAATCAGAGTGTCTGCTCTTCAAGACTGATATCTAGTATGAGGGAAAACAGACATTTGGATTTTTAATATAATTGGCAGGAGGTTTCTCTCTGCATCCAAATTATGTATAGGCTTTACTAAGAAAAACAGAGAATGATAAAATCAGGAGAAGAGAGATAAATAAATCATAAGACTATAATCTAACTCAGAAAGAAGACATGCATGAATAGTTTTGCTAAGATTTATATGTAAGATAAAGGTTGAGATTCTCAAAAGAACTTAAACAGTATGCTTTACCAATATTTCAATGTGGAGTATTTCATTATGCATTGTATAATTGGCAATACTGCTTCCCCTGAGTTATTAAGCCATAAGAAGAGCCAAGTCAGAAATTATTAGAGTGGAATAATAATATATGCCTCTCTGAATTTCAGGTTGTATTCAATGCGTTTAGAAACCCAGGTTTTAGTACAATAGGTCTGGATGACATAAACCTAACAAATGGAATCTGTAGTGAGAGTCCTTATCCAGAACCAACTTTGGTTCCTACACCTCCACCAGAACTTCCTAGTAAGTAAACCCATTATGTGTATTCCCTAAGTCATGAATCTATCTTGTTTCAGCTTATTGCTTTTATCTCAGCCTAATAGTGTTTCAATGGAAAATCAAAGTAAAAATAAAGACCATGAGAAAAACTGTATCTAGCCAGTGATGTGTTATAATGAATTCACAGATATTCACTTGTTATAAAGTTGTCAATCATATTTAAAATATGATTTAGTAATTTTAAAATATATTTATTTTTAATAAATTTAGTAATTTTTCTTAAATTTAGTGACAGTACTAACTTTTATTTCGTTCTCATTAAAATGCAAACTCCAGTGCCACATTGGTGGAGATGAGTGGAGTCTACTCTCTTGGGGGAAGAGCTGCTGAGGTTCTAGTTGCCTTTTTAGGAAGGATTTGAAAATCATAACAGCTCAGTTAAGACTGAAACACTCTGCCTCAGCTAGGGTTTCTATTGCTGTGAGAGACACCATGACCCTGACCACTCTTATAAAGGAAAATGTTTAATTGTGATGGAAGCTTAGAGTTTCAGAGGTTTAGTCCATTATCATCATGGCAGGGAGCGTGATGAGTGGGAGTATGGTGGCATGCAGGTACACAGGGTGCCGAAGAATTCTATATCTTTCGGGCAACAGGAAGTGAACTGAAACACTGGGTGGTATCTTGAGCATATGCGAAAGCCCACCTACTTCTACCTACTTCTACAGTGAGACACTTCCTCCACAAGGCCATACCTAATCCAACAAAGCCACAATTCCTAAGAGTGCCACTCCCTTTGGTGGCCATTTTCTCTCAAACCACCACACACCCCAACTTTATTTTGGAATAATTTGATAGCAAATATTAAATCCAAACTTTTACCAGACATCCCTAATGAATGGGGAATGTTTACATCCTGAAGTGATGCTTTGACAAGGCTTTGGAATACCCTCCCTTGGCGGCATCATAGCTGAGCAATAACTGAGATTTCCAATCCTACCATAGCTTTTAATTCAAAAGAACAAAATGGATCGTATGCCTACTTTTCTTAGGTCAAATTGAAAAGCTGTAATTTCAAAGAAACCTTATTACCATTCATCTTATTCATGTCTGAAGAAGCACACCCTATTATAAGACCATGGCATTTGACAGACCATAAAAGGATAATCACAGATAAAGATACTTATATAACACAGCTCCTGTCTTTTAGGATATTCTCAGTGCGGTGGTATGTTTTGAGGCATACCCTCAGTCTTGTGATCATGGGAATCTGAGAGAGCCAAGGGGAGTATTTTGTGACATATCTGAACACTCAAACACAGAATTTCCTCTTCTCCTTTTATCTGAAACACTTAAAATACCCAGAAAAGCATATATTTTTCTGCATTAAAACTTCAATCTAAAACAAAACAAACAAATAAAAAGCAAAAGACCCTGGCAAAAGAACACAGTGGACAAAGGCATTTGCAACCTAACCTGTTGACCTGAGTTTAATTCATGGGATTCACGTGAAGGAAAGAACTGACTCGCATAGTTATCCTCTGACCCGTACAAGTTTGCTATGGAATGCATACACACACACACATACACACACACACACACGCATACATCCGCGCACACACACACACAGTTACACATGGACAGACAAACACACTAAACGCATCTGTTTTTTGTTTGTTTTGTTTAGTTTTGCTTTTGTTTTAAGAAGCAGATTTGTTTTCAGCTACATGACTTTAACAAGCCCAAAGTCCTCTAGAAAAAATAATTGATATTTGACATCTTTTTAAAAATGAGGTGCCACTAAATAAAGATGTGGTTTCTCCAGGCCTCATGCTGCCATCTTGAATATTCACTATATTCCTAAAAAAAAGCTAGTGTTCACTCTCCTTGCACACTGGAATGTTTGAATGTTTCTTCAATGATGCAGCATTCCCATCATTCATTTAAGGCATAGACTCTGCAAATGGCACTGCCAAAGAGACCTAAGAAGTATCAGCACAGGTGGTTTTTGAAAATTTTAACATGACAGGAAAACAAATATTTTAAACAGTATACTATTCATGGTTAATGTGTCAAATGGACAAGATTTAATTAAGGAAATGCATGAATAAATGAGGCACTCAGAAATCTGAAAGAGAGGGGGGAGGAACCCTGATGAACAGACAATAAAATACTGCTATAAAGTCCACTAAAGGCAGAAGTTTTGTTTTTTTTCCAGTGCTGGGGATGGACTTCACGTCTTCTGAGACTAAGCAGATTCACAAGTGTACTTCTCAGCCTAACCTAGCTGTAATTCACTGTATCTGCCTGGTAAATCATTCTAGCCTAGCTGTAATTCACTGTATCTGCCTGGTTCCTAGTGTCACATGAATCAGTAACCCGTAAATATTAATAAATATGCACCAAGAATTCTTTTGCTATCCTGATATTTTGTCATATTCTTCTTCTGGCCATTGGAACTAGATTTTTGGGTTAATACCAATATGAATGCAGTAATTTGGGCTTTGCGGCATTTGAATATGGTAGTACTCTTACATTCTGTCTGGTCCCTCTAAATTTATAGCATAAAACATTTTTATGCACAATTTTATGTTTAGAATTCTTAAAATCACTACTAGTTTGATGAGTCTCAGATGCTCCATATTTAAATTATTAGACAAATTACATTTCTTAAATTTTAAAATCTAAGATAACTTTTATATTATCACACATAAAATAAATGATTGCACCTTTGTTGTCCATGTTAAAATCAATATTATGTGTACCATCATCATATCTATTCTAGTCAGTAAAAGAAAATTCACAATATCTCAGTGCACAGAAGCTTAGCATCTGTGCATGTTTTAGCACTGGGAAAATTGTACTGTTAGAATAACCCATGGGATTTTAAGATATAAATTTAGAATTTGCCCAGAACATGTTTGTTCCACTTTCTAAGTGGTTCACTTTGAGCCAATGTTTAGCACAGCGGAAATGTTAATTACCGTCCAACGCATCCTGAACAATTTCTTTCTAATGCCTTTTGCAGATGGGTCAATAGGAGTCCTATCTGTGCAGAGCTATTCTAATTCCAGATCACTGAGTTGTTTAAGCAAAAATAAAAGGAAACCATGGTTGACTGGCTAAAACCTTTCTGTTTCTCTTTACAGAGTAGTTAAATAAGAAATCTCAGACAAGTGGTTGAATAATCAGACCGTGTACCTACTCAATTCCTGAGAATATTGTTGGGTCTAGTTTTCTGAATATTCACAACTGCAGGGATTCCTCAACCATGTCACTTTAGTCTCTGTTCCATCAGCTTCAGGATGGTGCCTGTGATGTTGATACAATTAATTTCAGTAAGAGTTCTCTACTTGAAGAAGTTTACAAAAACTAATATTCTGTTAAACAAACATCATATTAATTTGAAAACCAATTCTGAGACTCTCTCACAAAGTACAGTATGTGTAGGCAAAAAGAATTCAGCACTCAGCTCCTGGGTAATTTCTGAGATTCTCAACTAATTCAGAAAAACTGGCTTTAGCCATTTTATATTCCAAGATTATTTTTTCTCTATCATTTCCTGATGTAAGTAAGCCATTTTTCATTTCTTAACACGCAGTGAGTTAGTTTGAAAAAAGTTACTAAACAACTTGACAAGTTCTCCATATGGGAATCAGTCTGCATTTATGCTTTCTTAGCCTTTCCCTGCAGACCAGAAATCTGTGGTGTTTGTCCAACTTAATATTCAACCCCTAGCACACACAGGTCTTAATTGCATTAATAGAATCCTTCACCAAAGAACTTTTTCTTACTCTCTTTTGTTTTCATTGCTTTACCTTTACAACAACTAGCCTCATTTAGTGTTATCATTGGTTAACTTTATTTTAAGAACAAATAAAATTTAATATTCATGAATAAACATTTAAACCACAACATTTAAACACTTAAATAAACATTTAAATCACAAGTTTGATGAAAATATATACATTATGAATAGCTACAAAAATGTCTTAAAACTACTAATTTTTAAAAGTTGGACCCCAAATTCTCACAGGAGATGTAATTTCAGATTAGGACCTAAACTTATTACCATGTTCAATATAATATTAAAAATTTATTGTGTATTACTAAAATAATAGATAATAATTGAGAATACTAAAATTAATTTCATCTAAATTCAATGTGATTTATTGTTTCTCAAGTTACATATATTATTTCCCCCATAAATAAGTAACAGTCAAAAGCCTATCAGTAATTGAAATTATGTCTTCATTTCTTATCTTGTTTTTTTTCCACGTGTTTAATTCAAACTTTCTATGAGACGGTTGGGCTTTTCTCTTTCCCACCTCTGGGATGCACCTCCTTATGGACACAAACCTTATAAATGTCAGCCTTAAATAGAGGTTACAAGCAGAATCTCTTAAGGACATAACTCCATCTGTGAAAACTCCCTTAGAGAATGCTGCATAAACACATCATGGGTACAGTAGAGATTTCTATGGCATAAAAAGAGATTAATCAAATTACAAACATTTGAAATAACAGCACCTAGGAATATTAAAAGTGAGAATCCAACTCTGTCAATGAACAGACCCTCCAAGCCAGCCAGGATGTTTTACTCCCATTGTATGTGTAGGCCTCTATTACCTAACAGCATAGTATGAATGCAGTTTCTAGAGTCATGCCTCATCAGTCTATGGAACTTCCCATAAGAATCATGTGCACACAACAAACCTATGAATACATAAAGCATATTCACGCAGACATACATGTGCACATATCCACATTTAGACAGATAAACACAAGCACATATAGTTAAACTTTCATGAACTCGCACAAACACATTTACACATATATACATACACAAATACATACACACATTCACATGCACATGTGCACACCTAAGAACTGAAACACAGTGAGCATAGGTAAACATGTGCATGCACTCATATATATACACACATCCACACATACACATTTGCAAGTTCACATATAAGTATATATATACTCACAATACAAACAAACAAGCACATTCACACTTATGAATATAAAATATAGAGATTTAAGCTCAAATATATTGTACACATGCCTGCATCTGTACTAACCCAAATATACAGTGATAAACACATACCCATTCTCACCTGCACACAGACAAATATGTTATGTACAAATGCAGACAAATTTATACTATACCCATTCACATATCACACACATATACAAATACACATATTCATACACAAACACACAGTCATACACTTGTGTTTTCACACTCATAAATGAACACACATGCACACATGCTTATGCATAGAAACCACACAAATACAAAGGCATGGACATACACATAGAATCTCACATACACAGACATACATGCACATGCTCAGAAGATGTTCAAGTGGTTCAGGTAAAAAAGACTAATGATATGTATAGAAAATTATTAGAAAGAACATATGACTGAAGCTCTGCATGGATATAGTCTAATTTTCCCTCTCTCAATTTCAATTTCTAATTTACTGAGTATTAAAAAATCCTAACCTTATATGCCTTCACTAAAAGGAAAATCCTCATACAGTTAGCCAGGCATCTTAAATTTTGGAAATCATTTTTAAATATAACTATATAATTTTAAATGGTAGCGAGTATTAAAATTGGGGTCCCTAAAACAGTCAATAAAATCTTAAACTGTTTTATATTTCTTTATAATTAGTAAAAAGAAAACATATATTCAGTATACTAGAATGTTAGTATACCTAATCATAGAACTAGAAGATGTAGGCTCTATTTTATAATAAAATTTAACTAAACCCTGGGAATCTCAACTATGACAAAATGTTGAGAAACATATCTTACAAGAAAAGAAAACTAAGAATTGTTGTTTTGTTGCACTTTTTGGTTGGAAAGGTTGTGTGTATACTCTCATGTAATATAGGAAGGTTGAATTCCAGATCCTTCTGCTTCCATAGTCTAAGATCTTGGATCACAGGTGTGCACTAGCATGATTTCCTCAGAATTTTAAACAGGAAGAGAAAGTGTTGCTCCTCCCTTCCTGACTACCACACACTTCAATGTTGAGCATCATTTCCACCCAATACCTTAATAATAAATGATCAAAAAGTCTATATTGCTAGATCAGTGACATACCAGAACTGACTCTACTTCTAGATGGTAGCAGGGCTGGCATTTTTCTCTTATAAATATTCACATTTTTCTGCAGATATGATTTTCCCTTATGTACTTAACAAAATATTTCCATTGGTCAAATAAATATGGGCAATTGTAAACACTATTATAATCTTTTGTAACTTATAAAGGAAGTAAGAATATAAAGCTTTTGGGAACTTTTCTACTAAAAACACCAATGTACTAACATGTTTCCCTAACACCTTATACAGTTTGTAAAATCAATCTGTCAAAACTAGCATTCTAGGAAATGTGTTTTTACAATGTTTGGCATCTAAGAAAATATCTGTGGAATAGGCATGGTGTTGTTAATAACTGTTTCTTAATCCATTTTAGCTGACTGCGGAGGACCTTTTGAATTATGGGAGCCAAACACAACATTCAGTTCTCCCAACTTTCCAGATATCTACCCTAATCAAGCTTTCTGTGAGTCTTTTCTTGCTCAGCTTACCAAGGAAAAATGTATATAACAAGGTTATGCCCCTCATGAATAGAGAAATAGATTATGAATTTGTCAAAATGGACACAGTAGCATGCTTTTTTTTAATTATTTCCTTCATATTTGACAGTATTTGTAATTTATTATTACTTCTTTTTTAATTATTTCCTTCATATTTGACAGTATTTGTAATTTCATTTCCCCTGCCTTGCTTTCCTCCCTCCAAACCCTTCCCTGATTTCTTTTAGATTTCTGGCCTACTTTTCATTGCAAAGTTTTAAGTGAGTCAAAGCAATGGTGTTCACTATTCATGGTTTCAATCTAGTCTCACAATCATTCTTCATAGCACTTTTTACTACTGTAATACCAGAATAAAAACATGAAAGTTATGCCCTTGATGCAGTCACCCTTGCTCTAGATATTTTCCTCATCACTTTCCTTGCTCACGTATAATCCCTGGAGTATGTAGAACAAACTTGCAGTTTCATAGAGCAAAGTCAACGCAATACCTTCACCCTTAGAAAACACATACTAGACTTGATGAAGAATACAGCCAGAGGAATATGTTTAGACTCCTAGAACCAATAAGAGAATAATGCAGGCTGCTGAAATATCTAAATTTAGAGAAAGCAACCTACAAACCATTGTACAAAAGTTATCTCTGGGCTAGTGTAATTACATAGAGAGACTCATGACAGTTATCTGAAAACTGTGTAATCTGCATTACAAATCCACATTCTCCATCCAGTTTTACAAAGATTGCAATTCGGGAGGCATGGTCTGGGAAATAGCCATGTTTTACTCGTGTTCATGCCTAGGTAGGACTCAACTGCAGTATTGAGCCAGTTCCATGAACAGAACAATGACAGTGAAAGGGGGATTTTAAAATGTGAGGCTCTCTTCACAAAGAGATGTGTAACAATTTCAAGGCAAATAGATGTCGTTAGGTCAAATGAATTGATAGACATTAGTCTAACATGATCCGAATCTGGAAGCAAAGATTATCCTCAGGGATACACATTCCATGCTGAAGACAACATGCAATCACATCTTTTGCATGGAGATTTTAAAAATCTAATTCTTAGTCACTGCTTTATTTTTGAGATTATATAATGTGAATTTTTGCATAAATTTACCCTTACATTTCCTCGTTCCAGACACTCTAATAGACCCCTTCTTACTCTCTTTCAAATTTAAGACTTTTTTTTGAATGAATTGTTGTTTCATACATATATAAATGTGTGATTGTTATATACAACATTAAACTGATAGATATATCAGATATATACATATATTATTCTAATGTTCTTTCTATGTTTTCATTTTCAGGGTTAACCATTTAATCTTGGACAACTAACTGGTGTACTTTTCTTCTCTACTCAGCATTCTTTGGGTGTCCTTAGTTCTTTTATTCACCCAATGTTCACTAAGAACTTTACTTACCGAATAAACAAGGTTATTGTCTGGACAGATATTATGATCAAGGGCCACTCATTGCAAAAGATTATGATGCCATTAAAATAGGAGTAAAATAAGGCATTGTAGAGGGACATTAAAGGACCCTTCATAGACTAATCAAAAAAAATCAGGACTTTCATGGCTCTTTAAGGAAAACTCAATAACTGTAGTTGATTAAGTAGGTAGTATGAAGAAATTTTGCTCTATGTTATGAGACTTGAAATTTTGTCAAGTAAAGATGCTTACCACTATGTCTCATGTTCTTTATTTGATTCTTAGCACGTCAATAGTGGAAGGGTAGAACTATTCTAGCAAGCTCTTTTCTGTGCACTGTGTCTTCCCCCCAATCTCTCTCTCTCTCTCTCTCTCTCTCTCTCTCTCTCTCTCTCACACACACACACACATACACACATACACACACACACACAAAATGCAAACAAAAATAAAGAAATTTAAGTGAATTAAAGTAGATTCTTAATACCTATTGATATTCTTAAACTGCACTACAGTATTAGTTGGCTACTTAAAGCCAATAAAAGTATTTTATTTTGTATAAAATAAATTTAATAATAATGAGTTTATAACAAATTTTATTTAATTATGGCAACACATATTTAAGATTTAACCAATGTATTACTTTTCCTAGCTCAAAACAAAATAAATCAATGAAAATAAATAAGACTGTGGATACTTAGTAGAGATACAAAGATATAGGCTGTAAATTAATCATCATTATTTATTATTTTCAAGGTGTATGGAATTTAAATGCACAGAAGGGAAAAAATATCCAACTTCATTTTCAAGAGTTTGAGTTGGAAAGCATCAATGATGTGGTTGAAGTGAGAGATGGGGGAGAAGTTGACTCCTTACTCTTAGGTAAGACTGAAATTTGAGTCTTTTGAAAGTTATGTAACTCAAATCACTTGATGCACAGAGACAGCATGTGGGAGCAGATGTCAGAACTTTACAACTGGCAAAATGAATATATGGCAGCAAAGTCACATGTTGGATATTGAAAATAGATTCTTTTCATACACTGTATTCTGATCATGATCTTTCCTCTGCCAATTCCTCCCATAGAATTTTGGGTATTCTTATGGGGCATCTTTGCAATGGTGACACAATATACTCTTCTAGAATATTTGTTGTTAATCAGGATTTTAAGTCATTTTATCTTATATTTTGACATTGTTTTGCTTATTATTGTTTATAACAGCATCTACCTTTTAACAGCTTAGAAGGATACAAAAGTTAACCAATATTTATTTTTCACTGTTTCTGTTGGTTATTATTTTTTATTATACATGAGAAATATTTTTGTCTGGATAACAAAATACATATTAGCATATTTAAAAGTTATTAACCAAACATAAGATTATACTATATCATTTAAACATTACTTTTTAAGAAAGAACTAGCTTTTGGTAAGGTAAATTAAATATTAAATTAGGAAGATGGTTAAATGTTCAACTGGGAAGTATGAACTAATAGTTTCTCACCACAGAAAGTGTTTTATCTAACTGTATTTGTGACTTAATTCATGATAAGTATAAATTCTGGCCTGAAGATCTTTAAATCAGGGAACTATTATATAAAAATTGTGTGTGACAAGTGAAGGAAGATTCACCATGAGAATCCAACCTCAAAAGACTAGCATAATAGTGAGAATTCCCTAGACATACCAGCAAAATCCCATGAAGTTTTAGAGCAGAGCTTTCTGGAAGGAATTGTCAGAGCCACACACTGAATAAATCAGCAATGAAATCCTTTGGGGACCAGAAAGACTTCTTGGGGAACATTCAACTGGATCAGTATATACATTTGTCAACAAATTTTAAATGGTTGCTTTATTTCATTTTCAGTTAAAAGTGTTCCTATTAAAAAAATACTACTTACATGATCAAGGAAAATATTAATTTATTATTTTACTTATAATAATTCACATAAATAAACAGAATACGATCTGATAAAGAAGAATCATAGAAGGGTATCTAAATTATATTGTAATTTTCAGATAGACATTGTCTTGTAAGAAACCACTTGGTTGTTCCCAGCTGCTAAGCCCAAAATAACTGCACAGAAACTGTATTATTTAAATCACTGCTTGGCCAATCACTTAAGTGTGTTGCTAACTAGCTCTTACATATACAATTAACTGATTTTCTTTATTTTTTATTTTACCATGAGGCTAGTGGCCTACCGACAAGGTTCTAGCTGGCAGTTCACATCTTTCCACGCTGGTAGATCCATAGATCTCATTGACTACGCTTTCTTTCTCCCAGCATTCAGTTCAATTTTCCCAGCCTAGCTCTACTCTACCCAATCACAGGCCAAAACAGTTTCTTTATTCATTAATCAATAAAAGAAACACATATACAGGACTTCCCACACCAAAACAGTTTTGTTTCAGAAGTGTTTTTCTTCTTCTAATAGATAAAACAGTTAAGAATTAGCATCTAAACTCTTAGACTGTGAGCTTAATTTTGGTGAATCATGCTGCATTTAGTCCTTCCTCCAGAAGATGGAAAAAAATTCTTCAGGTATCGCTGAGATTCAAACACCTCACAATCTCTTTTCCCCTGCGGGCAGCTGTGTACACAGGGCCTGGCCCTGTGAAGGACGTGTTCTCCACCACCAACAGGATGACTGTGCTTTTCATCACAAGCACAATGACGGCAAGCAGGGGCTTCAAAGCAAATTTCACTACTGGATATTACTTGGGCATCCCAGGTAAGAAATAGTGCACACCTCAGCACAGTTATACGAACAAAGCAAGGAGGGTGAAACCCCTTTCAAGAGCAAATCTCATTGTACATGCTTGCATTCTGATATATTATTTTGTCTTTCTCAGAGTAGTGTAGGTTTTGGTCTTTCCTCTTTCTATATGTAATGGTTATGTGAGTTTCTTCACAGGAGGAATCCACAACATTTTTTGCATATCAAGTACTTCTCTATTAAGAACCTTGCCTTCTATTCACTGAAGTAAAAATTAAAAATGAGGTTCAAAGTAAAATAATTGGCTCTGTGAGGAGAAAATTTTCACTTTTCCGAGATCTTGCAGAGACACAAGGAGGAAGATGAGCTACTGAACTGCTGGATGCCAGAGACACCCAATTAAAAAATTAAACATCATTAACTTGTTAGAAACAGCCAGAATAAAACAACTGCAGTGGAGGAGTTTAACACTGAATGCTGCTGGCATTAAAGCCTGCTTATTGTGTACTTTATCAAATCCCTAACCTTAACAGTAGGAAAAAGCAAAGCACTGTAACAAACACATATACAGCGAGAGAGAAAGAGAACACAGAGACAGCAGAGACAGACAGGTTTAGAGAGGGATACACAAAGTATGTATGTATTCCCATATATATGATATTTTAATTTTTTGAATTATTTGTACTTGTGATTCTACATGGGTTCTGACTCACTTTGTGCTGACCTACTCCTCAGTACATTTTTTTTTTCTGATACAAATCATCCTTCATTCATTTGAATCCTAGAGAAGAGGAATTTTTCCATGATTGCTTTCTTCTAGATTATTATCTAAGGCTAAATCCTGTTGTGTGGTTAAATGATGCTTATATCTGTTTCTCTACTGCTCACAGTTGGCTTGAAATTATTGACCTTGTCCCAGGAAGTGCCCTGCTTTCAGCTTTATGGTCATTCTCTAGCCCCAACAACAAGCCACAAAATTAATTATGAAAGCTACTTAGGAAGGGTTGGCTTTAAACCCAATCAATTAATCTCCCATCTGATTTAGAAGCAGCTGTTTTTGACTTAGAAACAGTGATATAAATCAAACAAAACAAGCAATTACTGAGATTAGCAAACTGTATGTGTGTATGCATATATATATGTATATAGTATTTGTCTGTCTGTGTTTTGTATGTATATAAAACATACATATATATGTATGTATATAAATATACATACATAAGTCTGGCATATCGTGGTACCTGTCTTTAATAGGAGCAGGAGGATCAGAAATTCTTTGTCTCCTCTATTTTTTTGCAGAGGAAATTGTTTATTTCAGCTTATAATTCCTAGTTCATCATACAGAGAAATAAGGGAGGGAAACTGGAGGCAGGATCTGATGCAGAGGCTATGGAAGAGTGCAGCTTACTGGCTTTACATAAGCCATATGTAGACATATTTATTGTCATATGAGCATACTTATATATTAAATGCTTTAAAGTATCTAGATTGGATAAATGCAGAGAATGACTTTTCCACCCCAGACAAAAGCAATTTGTCCACATAAGCGGCTATCCATCACTGTGCTCAGAAACCTGAGAAGTCAATTTAAAAGAGGAAGAATTTGCTTGTTTTCAGGTTTCTGAGACTTCAGACAGTCAGTCCACAGTCCTTGCCCCTTGGATTCTGAGCCCACAAGAAGAAAGAATGTGGTGCTTGTGGAAGCATACAGTAGTGACTACTTAATTTATGATGGAAAGACAAAAATGGAGAGTGATGGAGAGACGGAGAGACGGTGGAAGGGAGGATAGAGTGAGAGTGGGCAAGGGACTCTTAAAACAAGATACAACACCAGTTCACTATTTCCCTTAGCTAAGCTCTATTACCTAAAATTTCCAGAACCTTCCAAAGAAGAATCACTAGCTAGAGATCAAACTACACAATACCTGAGATCAAGGGGCAAATAGAGAAAGAGCCCTTCACAGCCAGTGTTGGAGGCAAATGAACCTGCTTTATCTGAGGAATGAAAATGTCTCCACTCCCCCGTCTCCTCACCTCTGGGCTTCTATAAAATGGGACAATAATAAAATGAATTAAAGTATAATAAGATAAAGCAAAAACTGCTCATTGGAATAGTAAAAAACAAACACAAGGAAAAGGACCCAAGAAAGACACAAAAACCAGAATTTAAAAGTCCGTCTATATCTTTCGTGGCATGTTAAATTCCAGACAAGCCTGAACCATAAGGGATCTTTTTTTCTAATGGAGGGAAAAGATAGTAGCAGGGGAAGAGGAGAGTCTAAGATTCTATGAAGTCAGAGTTGAGATTAAAATATAACTTATGCAGAAAAGCAAAGAGAATTTATATCTTCAGGGTCATTGATGATGAAAACGTAAAATTAATAACAATTTAGGATTAAAATACATTTACACACAGAGTACTACACAGCAAAAAAAAAATAATAACGGCATCTTGAAATTTGTAGGCAAATAGATGGAGCTAGAAAACATCATTTTGAGTAAGGTAACCAAGACCCAGAAAGACAATTATAATATATACTCACTCATAGGTGGTTTTAAAACATAAAGCAAAGAAAATCAGCCTACAAATCACAATCCCAGAGAACCTAGATAACAATGAGGACCCTAAGTGAGACATACATAGTTCTAATCTACATGAGAAGTAGAAAAAGATAAGATCTCCTGAGTAAATTGAGAACATGGGGACCATGAGAAAGGGTTGAAGGGGAGGGGAGAGGCAGGGAAGGGAGCAGAGAAAAATGTAAAGCTCAATAAAATCAAGTTTGAAAACGAAAAAAAAATACTATACAATGAAAAGTGCAGATAACAATATTGCCTGTATTTTATGAGACTGAGTTACTGTGTGCATGTTAAGTCTGTATTTGGTACAGCATAGTTAAATGTGCAGACATACAAAATATCATACAAGGGAACAATAAAATAGCTAGCACAAAGGTATTTATCCTCACAGCAGGTTAGTCATCTCAATATGTTTTCACATATTTTGTCATGACAAGAAACTTTTATGGAATAATTGCTTGCTTTTTAAAAAATATAAATAAATAATAAAGCCCATCTGAAGCAATTTAGTTTTTTAAAGCTGTATATCAACCTGTAGGAGAGTGGGTCTGTTACAAATCTAAGCAACTGAAATCATTGCAGAACATTCTTTCATATATAAAACTGTAAGTACAAAATTTACACAAGTCACAGGACTTTACATTCCTATTTTAAAATTACGAATGGCAAGAGGTAAAAAAAACTGAAATAGTAGATACTGTGTAAGAGAACAAACATCTCTTCATCCAAATGATTAGTTCTTGATTTTTATATGGTTCTTACTCTTGAAAAATAAAGTATCATGTGTTTTGAAAAATACCACAAAAAATTATGTTGGAGAAAGTAACCCAAATCACATAGTTTAATGCAGCCAATAAAACGAACACACATGCTTATATGAAGGGGTTCTTTGCATTTGGTTTGCCTAGAGCCAGATTTTGGTCATGAGCATCTTGTTTTTAAGAGAACGCTTTTTTGTTTTGTTTTGTTTTGTTTTTGAGTCAAGATAGAGGGATCTCTTACAGAACATCATTGCATGAAAAATGGACTCAATTGGGAGTTGCTGCTTCTCTTGGACTTAGAAGACAGTCTTCTGGGAAGGAGAAGTTCAGTGACCCAGCTGTCCTCCACATAGTGGTTTTTTTTTTAATCAAAATGTTTTTAATGGCAAAAGACTGAAATGCAGTTATAGAAACAGGGATTTGGCATTAGAAGATAATCAAGCCAGTAATGAATATGAGGTTGGGTACACATTCCTCTTTATATTGGTGTTCTGCTTTGGCAATCGTTTCAGAAACACTGTGGGAAAATATGCTAAAAATGGCTTCCAGTGTATAAACACTTTCTTGTTTTCTGAGATATTTTAGGAATATCTTGAAAGTTTTGCTTTAAGTAAGTTATGAAGCAAATTTTATTTTATTTGTCCTTTTTAATCATTCCTAGTCACGTTGAACTTGAGTATTCACAGTAGATATTTATTATGCTAAGTCTCTTATGAATGTGTTCCCATTGCTTGTTTCTGATTCTCTGAGTCTTCACGTGGAAGTCAGTAGAGCATAAATCCAACTCACAAATGGCACCTGGTTACACTCAGGGCCTTAGAGCCCTCCCCATCTTGTGTGGTGTGTACCTTTGAAACCAATTTGATTTCTTTTAAAAAACCAAGCATATGGTGACTAAATGAGGCAGGGCTATAGAGACTTCATAAAGAGAAAATGGGAAAATTCAATTCTGAATAATATTACCTTTTTCTTCTCTCACCATGGGCACAAAACTATCAGAAATAAGATTTCTGGCTCCAGAAAGAATAAAATTATTGTATTAAAGACTTCCTAATAACCTGAAATATTATATATTTCAAAAAACAAAAATCATGATTATACATATATGGAAAGTTTGAAATAGCTTATGCATACCTCCTCAAATTTTATAATATCAAAACACCTCAGCAAGAATACACCATTTTTACCACTCTGTAATTTCTCAACCAATTTATTTTGCCTTCTGAGCTAGTTATCTTTTCTGTTTCTACAAGTATAATCCTAACAGCTTTGATTACAGAAAGACAACAAATTATCATTTTTAGACAGGGACAGGGAACATGTTTTCACTCAAAATTTTATACTGATTCTTATACTTACTGTAACTAACATGTGCCTTTCCAACTGACTATAACTTGATCACAATAATAAAAACAACACTAACAATACATATATCCACAAATAAGTACTGTCACTGTAACTTCATTTGACATAATTATTATAATAGCTATGGAAAATATAATAAATAATTTAACAGTAATCCATAATGATTAACATTATGGATTATATTAAAATATTTAATTATGGGTCTGAAACTAGTACAGTTATGTTATAAAATAATATATGCTGAAATATATATTGTTATAGAGTGTGTATTTATGTGGGTGCATCTATTTTGAAGTTCTCCTATCTTCTAAAGGAAAGTTAAATAATGATAGTGTTCAGAAGAAAGAGAAATCTTTCCAGTAAGATGTTGATGCTTCCTTGTAGAAAATACAATCATTTGGGGCCATTTGTCATCTCAGTAATCTGTTTAAAAATATGTGTTTGTGAAATAAATTGGTAATTACATTTACTAGAACCTCCCTAATAATATTATGTTTTGAGTTTTATAACCTACTTTTCTCCTGATATAAAAATTTGCCGAAACAGTCAGCTGTAACTTCCTAAAAATATCTTTATTAAGGTAAATTAGATTTTGGTTAAAATATAGAAGGTTTCAAAACTTAAAATAGACAAATTTATCCAATTACTGTTTTCTGCTACGAAGTGATAATGATCAGACATATTTTCCTGATCTTCTTTTTATTTGGAGAGAAAAATAGTAGAAGTAGAGCAGAGAACAAGAATAATAAGGTGATAGACAGACGTTTCAGAGCTCACTGTCAGAACACACCCATGTATAAGGAAATAAGAGAAAAATGAAAGGAAGGAAGATATTTTTAAAGCTTGTACTTTTAAACAACTTCATTTTGAGACTCATATATGTACACACAGATGCATGTGACATGCATCTTTATCATAGCCGTCTGCATTTCCCTGTTTCAATTCCCCTTTCCAACATGATACCCCCACTTTTTGTTTTTATTTATTTTGTATTTGATTAGTTAGTTATGCATGTGTATGCAGACATGTGTATAAGGACACTGATGCCAAAGGCAGAGAACAATTTTGGCTAGTCATTTCTCTTCTTCCACTTCACTCCCCAGGCTCTAACTCAAGTCCTCAACCTTTGAAGCAATTACAGTTATTCATCCAGGTTTTGTCCCTCTCAGTCCAATTAAGACTGCTCATATGCACTTGAGTGTGGGGCCATCCACACAATCGTTTATAATCTTCTAACAATAACATTGCTAAGGAAAAAAGAAAGGTTTCCCTTTCTTTAATAGCCATCAGCCTCTAATAGACCCTGAGATAAGGATAATGACTCATGAATGACTCCACCATTCATGGTAGAGTCTTGACTCACTTGTTCTTGTGTAGATCTGTGCAAGTGATCACAGATGCTGTGAGCTTGTGAGGGCAACAGCCATGTTAGTCAAGAAGATAGCATTTCATGGACCTTTTCTGTATCCTTTGTTCTTGCATTCTTTACACCCCTTCTGGGGTGTTTTTTGAGGGTTCAGGGATATTTATGATTGAACACTTCCAGTCACATTCTCACAAATTTGACCAATCACGAAACTATTATAACCACTGCCTGCTAAAACACAAGCTTATCTGACTAAGGTATAAAGAAGGAGACATCTCAAGTCAGTTGCAGCTTGATTCCCAGAACTACAGATTCTGCCGTCGGTTTTCTAAATAGAACTTTTAATTATGTTGCTATTTTTGCTGTTAATACCATTTATTGGACAGAAAGTTCACACATATTGGCAAACCAGGTACATTATTTATTTATTTATTCTTATGATAAGTAGAACTAATTCTAACTCAACAAACAAAAAATACTAAGTCTTAAAAAGATTAATATATGTATACAGATTGGTCTTGAAGGCTACAAAGGATACAAAAGATAAAGAACATAAAGTTGGGTAGAAAGGGCCAGGAATTTTATCAAGAATAGTGAATATAATCAAACGTATTGCATGAAATCTTTGAAGAACTAATTTTAAAATCCCTTCTTTAAAAAGTAGCAATTTTTACCACTTTTCAAATTTGAGTCTCAAAGCTAGATTCCTAGTTAAAATGATCTCTTTCAAGAACTCTACCTTTGGTCACTATAAATAAACCCTGAGACTGGCCTGGCAGGGTTTACAAACTGGACGAGCAGTGCTACAAATAATACGGGAGTAACCAGCCATGACTATGATGGAAAAAACTTGTAAGGCGAGAGAATAAACATAGAAGAGTAGAGATGTTGGAGCTTTGTACATGTAGGAAACATTCTAATACATTTTGAAAAAAAATCAGTAAAGATAACACTCCATCATTCTCAAATGCTATTAAACCAGCAAATGCAGAGCAATTGTTTCTAGAACAAATAGAGGATTAACTTATTATCTATACTTCTCATTACCTTTGTTTTCTGTGGATTTCTAATTAATGAAAGTGTATCATATCTGTGTTTGCATACACACACACACTATTTGCCATAGAAATAAATAGTAAATGTATATCAACATTTAATATACTAATATTATATTTTATATTATATTAATAGTGTTTAATATAATAATGTTAGTATATTAACTGTTAATATATTAGCTATTTATTTATTTATTTGACAAACAGTTTATTTTTGAGTAACTTTTAATAACAAAATTTTCATGGAGAATATTTTGTTTCTGATATCCTTTTAAGTGGTGACTTAAGTGAAATCTATCCAAGTTTAATGTAATGAGACAGTCATGATACTGATTTATATTTATTAGTTATTAGTTATTTTCAGAGTAGAGGTCTTGCTGCTTTTTTTGTTAGCAAGTTCTTTGTTTCTCCTTCGGGAATGTCACTGTACCACAGAACATGAGATGTTCAGTATCTCCATGTACAACAGTCCATTCTCAGAGGATCGACATCATATGTGCCCTGAACAGAGTTCCTCTTCCCTTCCCAACATAGAGCTCTTCCTTTGAAAACAATAAAATAAATCTCTCTGAGATAACTATCTCCCAGCCATATTTGAGATCTCTCAGATCAATTAATTTTAAGATCAATCTCAAAGCACATTTGCAAAACAGATGACCAAGATTTGATCTGTTTAAAGCCACATTTAAACCAAACTCATTTAAAGTTTCAAGTATTTCAACATTGAAGCATCTTCCACCACATGCTAAATTGAATTCTGAAGTCTAAAAGTGTATAAATTGCATGGGTACTCAGAAACCATCAATCTGTGATTTTCTTACCCTCAACAATAAACAGAGCCCTGCCAGGATGAAGAATTTCAGTGTAAAGATGGAAAGTGCATTCCAATGGGGAACCTCTGTGATGGACACACACACTGTGCTGATGGCTCAGATGAAGAAGACTGTGGTATGTCTTTTTTTTTCTTTTTATTGACTTTTATTTAGCTCTACATTTTTCTCTGCACCCCTCCCTGCCTCTCCCCTCTTCCCCTTCAACCCTCCCCCAGGATTTCCATGCTCCCAATTTTCTTAGGAGATCTTATTTTCATGAAGATACTTGGGTTACTTTAGCTTTGTTTTTGGATTTCCCCAACATGAATGGACGGTTGCATGATTTATTTATTTCAAGTGCTGAGGAATGCGAGTCTCCCTCCTGATATCAGCACATCTAGACCATTCTGCTTTGCAGTAAAACTAAAATACAGGCAGGCCTCTAGTTTGTGTGTGTTGCTTGTTAAACTTGATAACACATAATAACTGTAGGTTTAGGGCAAGAAAGATTCAGTCAGAAATCATAAATATCAAAGATAGAAAATAACACAAGGCAGGCACCAAGTACCTGTCACACTGACTGCTTATTTTGTTTATTGCCTTCAGGAGAAGCACCTGAAGGCATATTTTAACTGAATTATCTGGATTTGGTACTTTAACAAGTTTAGTTCTCAAGTGTCTTTTATTTTTTCTCTTTGATTGGATCCAGGCCACGCTCCCATTTCAGGTTTCAATGATGACTTAATTAATTGAATTATTGTCCATTGTTTTAATTTCTAAAAAAGGGATTACTCATATTATGTGCATTGCACTATAAATAAGTGTGATAAAGGAGTCCCATATTAAGAAAATACTAGATATTGCCCTGAAGAAACTGAGTGTTGAAGAAGTTATGTATCTGTCAAAGATCACCTACCTCATATAAACTAAGGATAGTTTTTGAGTCTCTGTCTGTTTAATTCAATACTAAATTCTTTTATTCAAGAATAAAGCAAAACCAGTAGCAGCATGGTGTTTGTATGCCAGACTGTCATCACAAAAAATTATTTTTCTAGATAACTAGGTGAGGTTCAGGTCCTTTCTGGGTATAATGACCGTAACATTCTTTGCAAAATGTTTGTAAGGTGGAGAGAAGATGGTGGAAATCATATAGCAAACACAACAAATGAAAACAGAATGATTCTGGAAAAGGCCACATGAGGAAAAAAAAGGAGCTTTCTCTCCTGAATTTCACTTTTCCTTCTTTAAGTGACTAAGTTTAAGTAATGATTTTCATAAATAACTTCTAATAACTTAAAAAACAAAATGAATAATTTTATTTTGTTCATTTGCTGGGAAATAAACTGGAATGTTCCTGCTTTTTATTCATTTTTAATTGTAGAAAAGGACAAAATTATGTCAACTAAATTTCTATTTCTCAACTTATATCTTCCAAGATACTCTTCAGAAAAAGCTACAACCAATTGCTAATATCTACTTATTGAGAATGAACACATTTTAGTTGAGGCCATTATTCTTCTATGAACTTAACCAAAATGACCCTATGTATAATCCAATATCCTTTATATATTTCTACTTACTTAATAGTATTTCAAGAATGTGGTTGGAAATTCTAAAATTATAACTATTTATGGGATGCAAAGTAACATTATGCTTCATGCATACAATGTGGAGTAAACCTATCTAATAATTCTACATAGCACCTTAAATATTTAATTATTTTGTAATGGTACAGTTTGAAATATTTTTTAGCAACTTAAATGCGCATAGTTAGCATATCTTTACTGTACACTTGGACTCAAATAGCTTACTTCCTCTTGTCTAGATGAAATGTTTCCCTTTAACCAATATTTCCACACGGCCCCCACTCCCTGTCTTCATGTAACCACATCCTATGATCTGCATTTTCAGTGCGGTTTCTCAATGGCACAATGAACAACAATGGTTTGGTACAGTTCAAAATCCATAGTGTTTGGCATGTCACTTGTGCCGAGAACTGGACTGCACAGATTTCAAATGAAGTTTGTCAACTCCTGGGACAAGGGTAAGTGAGCCTACTAAGCTGTTTTACTTTTTTGTTGTTATTAATATGTGTATAGTCTGTGTTTGTGATTCTCTGTGTGTGTACATGTATGCATGTGTGTGTGATATATATTATACACACGTGGATGTTAGAGAAGAGCATAGTTTTGGTAGGAATTATATTTTATTTGTTATTATAATCAACATAGATTCAAAAGTGTTCAGGAAAATATTTGCAAATCAAATGTGGACAAGTATTAAAAAGATTATTCACTATGACCAAAAGAATAGTCCCTCACAAACTTCCTTTATTGACAGTAGTCACTAATAAGAATGGAGCCTCAAGATATTCATCAGTGTGACTACAGGACAAGGCCAGTTCAGACACCCTGTCCTCTACTGCCCAAGGACCTAGTTGGGGACATCCCCGTGGACACCTGGGAACCCCTCTAGAGCCAAGTCTCTTGCCAACCCTAAAATGACACCCTTAATGTAGATATCTTCTTCCCTGCTCTCATATTCACCCTTCCTCCATCTCAAACATCCCACTCCCCCAAGCTCTCCCCAACCCTCCCCTTCTTCCCTCTTTCTCCCCCTCTCCTCTTCCCCTTACCCCACCCCCACCCCCATGCTCCTAACTTTTGCCAAGCGATCTTGTCAGAGCAGTCAGTTTTACTGATAGTGAATTAAGTTTATCTGAAATTTATAGTATCAACTTAGAAAATGTTTGTTACCAAAATAAAAAAGAGGAAAACAATGACTAAACTCATCTTAAATTATAAATTATGCTAATATATTGGCAAAATATTAATTCTCTGAGCATTTTGTACATTGTATTTTGATCATAATGGTCACCATCTCCCATCTCCTCCCATATCTAGAGCTCTTTCCAAACCAAGCCAATTTTGCATTCCCATTCCTTTTGTTTTTGTAAACTCATCAAGTTCAATCAGGACTGATAAATCTATGGCCCTGAAGTCACCTACTGAACACCAGGAGGAGGCACAGCCTCAAAGAGAACTGATTTTCCCTCTCCCAACAGGTATCAGTTAGTAATGGGTTCCACCTTCTCTAAGAGGAACCTCATTGGGGATTCAACACATAAAGCTTTTTGCTATTTTTTTTTGAGTTCTACTAGAGCATACCTTAATTTTATTAATTATTGTTCTGAATCTCAACAATTGTTAAGAAATAAATATCAGCAGAGGAACTAAATTAGCTCACTTAACTGCAGCTATATCTAGACATATAGAAGTACAAAAAAGTTGTCTAACTATAAATCATAACGTTTTCCACCATGAACTGCTAAATGGTTTTCTAAAGCATTCTAGAAAACACTGTCAGGCATGGTGGAACAAGCTTGTAACACCACGGAAATCTGAAGTGAGATGATTAAGAATTCAAGGTCATCCTTGGATGTATAGTACCTCAAGGCTAGCCTGAGCTGGGTGGAATCCTATCTCAAAGACAAAACCAAAACTGCTACGAATGAATTAACAAACAAAGACACATGCCTAGAAATTACCTGTATCTGTATCTTTATGTGATTTGATTATAGACGTCCACTTGTAAAAGGTTGCATGGGCAGAGATGTGAATTAACAATACATCAGATGGGTAGCTAGGCAACCTGGTTTCCATCAGCGAACATATTTAAATGGAGCAGAAATTAGTTTTTCATGTGTTAATAGTAATAGTCATTAAATCTAAGTGATCTGAAGAAATTTAAAATAAAGATATAAAGTTAAGGAAGAAAAACAGACTTATGTACACCAAAATCTATACAGTATTTGAACTACTTTTAATTCATGAAAACAAGTGCAATAAGTTGTCTTTTCAGTAAGAGATACTTTGTACTAACTAACTAGTGGGTCACCTAACAGGATTTCCAGAGGGTGGGATGGCCTGTGCTTACACTATCACCATGGGGAAATCAGAGGCAAGAGAATTGCTGTTTAATGCCAGCCTAGTCTATCCAGCAAATCCAAGGACATTTATGGCTACATAGTGACATGAAGTCTCAAAGCAACAACAAAAATTTGTCTGGGTAGCACAGAGATTTCTTTTCATTTAGAACTCAAAAACAGTCTCACTGAAAATAACATACCATGTAGCAGCCAGTAACACAATTTCAAGTTCTCCATAAACCTGTGTGAATTCTAGTTGACTGAGAGACTCCAATTGTGTATCAATGCCATGATAAAACCCAGCTACTATATACAGATATTTTTAGTGAATGATAATTTTCAGTCTCATGTGGAATGTTAGAAACATAGCAGAATTTCTAATAATTGGGCTGAAAGATTCTAGCTTCCCTTGTCTCCTCAAATTATGTGCGTTCATAATGGGATACCGGAGATCCAGGCTTCATCTTAAAAGGTGATTCCCATCAAAGGAAAAGGCAAGAAGAGAATTTTATCACACACTATTCAGATGATCATCAATTTAATTTATAAGTATCAATTAAAAATTACATGTACTTTAGATGTTCATACATGTGCAACCTCCATCCTTTTCTTAATACATTATAGATTGTATTCTAAAAAAAATCACCTCAGTTTTGGTAGCATCTAACAAAAAAGAGCTATGTAGTAGTACAGGTTGTATGAGGAATAACTTCGGAGGTGACATTTTTTATTCTGGAAAAGTCAACAAAATACAGAAGCTGACAATTTGTCGATTTTTCTAACTTCAAGTAAAACACTTGATAGTGACATTATCTCTGGATTCATACTTAACAGTGTTTTAACTCAATAGCAATTTCACAGAGGTGATAGGGAGGCCTTTTCCTTTTTGTTAAAAGTTTGGGGAAGTTGAGGACTTCCTTAATGGACTTAGTTTACATTAATGCAGTTGAGGAGACTATATACATATACATATAGACATGAATATATATATATGTGTGTGTGTGTGTGTGTGTGTGTGTGTGTGTGTGTGTGAACGTTTTTATGTCTATATAATAACAATAAACTAAGAGGTCATGAATTTGAAAGAGAGCAAGGGGGTTTTTGGAAGAGCTAGAATTAATAAAAGAGATTGGGAAAATATTGTAATTATATTCTCAAAGATGAAAAAAGTAAAAGAAATAATTTAAATTAATTTGAATTAAATAAGATGTGAAACAATGTACTAGAATTGATATGTGTATCTTTAGTGCATTTAAACTTTGTGAGTTAATTTTGATTATTCCTGATTCAAAAATAGAAGCATTGGTAATGATACTGTATAAAGTCAATGAAATACATTATGACTTGGATTTACATGTTTATATGGTAGGGATAAACACATAAATAGAAAATTACTATGTTATATAAATGAAAGGTTCTGCGGGAGACTTGAACTCAGTGATGGGATATCAGCAAAGTTCTTCAAGAGACTGGCCTACGTTGAGTGAATGCAAATCAGTTCTAAAGCACTGAGACCTATTTATTTGCATGGTATTTCAACCCAAGTTATACTGTCTGGTTCTCTGACCTTATTTCCTGTGGATCATAGTTCTTGCAACAAGACTTGGAGACCAAGAGATATGGTCCTTTAGTACAAAAAAAAAAAAGTGATGTAATCCATTGTCTTAGATATAATATATTTTAGAAAGTCCAGGTACTTGCTTTCTTCTGAAATAATTCAGGTAATTTGTGGAAAGGTGATCTTTGTCGCTATGCATGCTTATTAGTTTCCACGGTGTCTTAGTACCCGAAAGAACATTACAGCATTAATGAGAGTTGTCTAGACTGGCATGAGGAAATGGAAAGAAAACTTGGTGGGTTTTAATGATGTGTTTGCTATAGTGGGAAATAATTTAGGATCTAATTTATTAAGCAGGCCCTGTAGTCTCTCAAAGTTATTTATGCAGATTGGCTATGAATTGCAATTCCCCACAGATTTGAGAAAATCGCATGAGGCAGATTTGATCAGTCTTTACTCCTTTATATTAAACACTTTAATTTCCTTCCATTTATAGCATGCATAAGTAAAAAGCACTTTGAATAACATTTTTATGTCTTTGATCAAAGTAAGAAAGAAGAATCTTTACACTGAGGCAAGTGTAATGCTAAATTAACAATGAGTTTTCCATCATGTTTTCTAAGAAGGATATTCACATTGTTACAGCCCAATCCATGCCCATGGGATATGCCTCGCAAAAAATTATTAAAATTAATCACTAATATTAGTGAGAAATTGAGCTAATTATTTGTTTTCTGATTAGGAATTCCAAGAAGAATTGTTAACCCTAAGAGTCCTATGCAACATGTCTCTACCTTACAAACCAGACTAGTTAATGCTATCCTCATATTCTCAAATCTGGGCAAGAAACAGACTTGCATCAATGTTTTTCTACTGTGAGGTGTTGGTAAATACTGAGGTAGAGAATGAATTCTGTCTTTAAAATAAAGTTGCCATAATTAATTGGAAGACAGGAAAGGGAGAAATGTTTTCATTATCTTATGATCTCAAAAAAAAGAAAGAAAGATCCCACACAAATGCATATTTAATTTATTTCAACAATTTGACACAAAGTACTGAAACCTGAAATTAAAATTGGCATTCTATACTGGCATAAGTTGATAGTATTCTGGTTCCCACATGTAATTTCTGTCAGTGTCCTAAATATCTTCAAGTATATAGGAAAACATTAACTTACTACAACTGTGAACACACATGCAGCCTCCCACCCCCAACACAAAGAAAACCCATCAGGACAAGATATGAGAAAGATCAGAAAAGGCTTAACAACTACCTTTAATGTTGGTGACTCTGTATTTTCATTTTACAGAATATTCTGGTAGTAATTTTCATGCAGTAGAAGTTATCTTTCCAAAAACTCATCTAGAGCTTCTTGCCCTCCAACACCATAGTAATAAGGTGCTGTGAGCAGAGAGTAGTCTCAGCAGCTGAAGGTGCATGCCACGAAATCGGAGAACTTGAGTTCCATTCATCCCGAGGAAGTCCATTCATCCAGAGGAACTGCAGGATAGAGAGAACTGGCTTTGTCTTCTCCCACCCTCTCCCCTTTCTTCCTCAT